AAATACAAGGTAACAAGAGAAGGGTCTCTTTATACCCTCCCTGGACAGAGCTCAGTGGAAAGGCCATGTGCAGCACACTGCTAGCAACACACATTTTAAAAACTTATCTGATGAAATGAAGGAGGAAAACATGCTGAAAGAAAAGCTGCTTGCAAACTCTGGAGCCCCCTCCCCACTTTGCTTGCCAACACAGTGCCCTATTTCAGTCAAATCAAACATTTTAAATAGCACCCCTGGGCTATTAAATTCTAGCTACTTCTCATTTTGTGGAAAGAATATATGTCTTTCCTGCTTGGAATACTTTTGCCATATGAAAACTGTCCACCTTCCTACTCACTGCCTTCTCCAGGTCCCTGATGTACCTGTTAAACACCACTGGGCCTAACACGGATCCCGGGGGAGCCCTGCTGTTTTCTTTCCATCCTGGAAAAGGGCCATTTCTACTCACTCTTTGCTTCTATCTTAAGCCAATTTCTAATCCACGAGCAGGCACAGCAGTGCTGTCTCACAGGCTCTGCCTCACGACCCAGCTTTGCCAGCTCACCTTCCTCATCCCCTTCCTCCTCCCATCTGCTTACCCCACTACTACTACCCCCTTCCCAACACGTGTCTCAGCTGCGCTGGCTGCTTGGGGTGAGGTGACCCCCAAAGCAGAGGCTGGGAGGGAGGTTCCCTCTGGGCAGTTGTCTTGCTCAGTGCCCTGAGCTGCACCTCCCTGGAATCAAGGCACCATGAGGTTTCTGCACTTCCTGGGCTCCAGGCCCACACTTTCCTGACTGGTGCTGACCCACGGGCACAGGTCTCCCCCTGCCCCACTGTCGTGGCTAGCAAAGTGACCAGAGCATGCAGGAGGAAAGCAGGGAAAGACTGGAAAAGTAACCCAGAAGCCAGGGCAGTCCTTGCACTGCGATGCTGGGCAGTGGCTCTTCCCTTCCCAGCTGTGCACACATGTCCTGACCACGTGGGCAGCCAGCTGTGACGTGTGGTGGGAACTTCCTCCTGGGCATCGCTCCACACCTTGTCCAGCTCCTTGTCCAACTCCTGGCAGCACAGACAGGGCTTCACACATGGCCTGTAGTCGGGTTTGTGCCCTTTCCAGTCCTGCAAGCCACCTCCATGGCCTTAGTGTGGAAGGGGACAGGCTCCTGTGGCAGAGGCCAAGGAGACAGCCCACATGGGGTCTCTCAGCTCAGCACATTGTGTGACCCTTACAGAGTCCAGATGTATTCCTGGCACTCTGCACCCTCTGCCCAGGCCCTAGCTGGAAAGTGTGGGTGCAGGGGCACTTAGTGTAGTGGTCTGTATGGGCTCAGGAGATAAGAACAGCCATTGGATGAGAAAAAAAATGAACCCTTTTTTCACCAGTCATGGAGAGCTGCTGCAAACTGGAGCTCAGGCTTCCTGGGTTTAAGTAGGGCTCATCCCTCAATTCCCACATTCACAACACTACCACTTATTTTGGCCATCTTTTGGAGTCTGAGTAAGACCTTTCAATTTGGGCAGACTTTTAGCAGGTGGGGAAAAGCTCTCAGTATTCCTCGGGAACTTGTGTTGTTGTTGCTGTATTATTTTACCTGTTTTATTGACTTTGTTACAGTAGCAGGAAATCAAATAAAGAAATCAATGTAATGAATTGTAAAGGGTGGCCTTTACATTTTTATATTCTAATCTTTTGTTTCCACACCACCGCAGTGAAGAGCAGCGCCCTGGTGCGGTGTGGAGCACACAGGCCTTTCCACCGTCACAGACTGGAAACTGCAGGGGCGCTGGGTTTTGCCAACTTCCCCAGGGACAGGGGCCTTGGTGGCTGGCATCATGCAAACCCCATGGACGGCGACTGTCGCAGGTCCTGGAGAGCAGGGCAGGCCGGTGCCAGGACCTCTGGAGAGCAATGACTGAAGTGCCAGTGCCACACCTGCGTGCTTCTTGTGGGGAACTTCGACCTCTGCTTCAGTGATCTTGGTGTGTCTCCACAGGTGTCCTTGGCAGTCATTTCCTGTAACCACTTACTTTCATTTTTGTAACTGCTGGGAGCTGCAGGATGGAGGTGCCCAGTGATTCTGAAATGCATTAATTGAACAAAAGGACGGTGAGGGGTGCCTTTCCCGAGGCCTCTGGGCCAGGACCTCCTGTCTGGACGTGGGGTAACACTCGTAGGGCCGGTCGTGCTGGGGAACAGCCCTGGGAAGGAGCACGGAGAGCAGCCCCAGCACCGGAGAGGAAGACACGGCCGAGCTGCGGTGGTCCAGCGCTCAGCAGGTAGTGGAGAGGCTCTGGGAAAGGGGTCCACGCTCACTCTTATATATTCACACGTGGATCCACTGAACACTCATGGGACCTGTCAGCAAGGGAAGGACCCACTGCTCACTCCGAGTCAGAGCCCGTGACACACTTGTGACAGGATCCCCCCCCCGCATCCTAGGGCTGTGAGACTGGCACAGACTTAGCCTAGAGGGTCCCCGGGGGATGGCCCTCGCTGCTCACCCCTGAAACCAGCCCTGCTGGCTGTGGGTGTGCAGAGGTGCCCCTGCTGTGGGTGTGCAGAGGTGCCCCTGCCTGTTTCCCTACATTAGTGTGGCCAGCCCATGCATGCGTGCCACGAGGGGCATGGGCAGTGGCTGGGTCTGGCATGTGAGCCTGGCTGCAAGGTAAGGGAAGGTGCTGGGACAGAGGCAGAAACACAGGCATCGCAGGGATCAGAGCAGCACTCGGGGAAGGCCTGGGTCTAACTAGTGGCACTTCAGCCAAAAACGTTTCTGGCCTGCCCTGCATGATGTCCTCCAGTGTCTGCCAGGGCTTTTGTGCATTAAGAAGCCTGTCCCTGCCCTGAGATAATCACGGGGGAGAAGGGCGGCTGAGGAGGGGCATCCTGAGACCAGATCCGTCCCTGCTGGGTGATCAGGGCTAGCCCAGCAAACAGGCCCTTCCCCAAGCCGTCTATCTCTGCCACCTTGACTCCCAGCAGTGTGATGTGTTTTAATGGCTATGCAGAGCCCTTTTCTGGTGTCAGCCCTGGATGGAGCTGGGACTCCAGCGGCCTGTTCTCGCCGTGGCTGGGCTTGTGCTCAATCTAACTTCACTCTGCTTCAGAGGGACTGGACCAAGAGCCCCACAGTCCAGAGAGGAGTCGGGTGTGAGCAGGCAGCTCCCCGTGTGTGGGACCCAGAGGCCCCAAGGCCCAGCTCTGCCCACTGTGCCCTCGCGGGGGAGAGCAGGTCTGCTCCCAGGGAGATCCCCTGCCAGGGACGGGCACCGCAGGGACAGGGGCACTTCTTCCCTCTGGGGACTTCGCTGTCTCTCTTTCTGTGCTGTCCTCGATGGGCAAGGGAGGGGCTGTCGTGGGAAGGGGATGAGTGTTTTTATCTCACACGTGGAGCCCCGGCCTGCCCTGCTCCCTCCAGCTTCCCCCAGCGCTGTGTAGCACCAGGGTAGCTCAGGGGCACAGATGCTCATATCTGCCAGCTCCTGCTGTGGGTGCGCCTTGCTGCTGTGACACTGCCCAGGTTGGTGCAGAGGTCCCTTCCCTTGGCACCATCCCACCTGCTGCCCTGGCACCGGGGTCACAGCCCTGGGCATGCTCAGCCTGGGTTTGTGCTTTTCTCTGCTGCGCAGGCCACACCACCATGAAAAGGGAGGTTTCCTTCTTCTGCTTCAACCCCTCAGCGAGCCCCTCTCTGCCCGACTGCATCGCTCTCCTCATCGCTCTCCAGGTTCACTGTCTGGTGGCAGGTAGGACCCCTGCTTCCTCGTGGCGTTTGCTGCTTGCTCTCATGCAGAGATCCATTGCCCAGGGCTCCCCACACGGTCAGAGATGTGATCCCATCACCCCCTCCCACAGCCATCCCCCTGGACCTGGCACAGCCCAGGACGGGCACGGAGCTTCCTTCTCGCAGCCTCCCTCGCG